GAGAGAGAGAGAGAGAGAGAGAGCGAGGAGAGAGAGAGAGAGGAGAGAGAGAGAGAGAGAGAGAGGAGAGAGAGAGAGAGAGCGAGAGGAGAGAGAGAAGGAGAGAGAGAGAGAGAGAGAGAGAGAGAGAGCGGAGAGATGTAGATATGTATATATATATATATATATATATATATATATATATATATATATATTAGATATAGATATAGATATAGATATATATAGATATATATATGTATATATATATATTATATATATATATAATCTTCTCTCTCTCTCTCTCTCTCTCTCTCTCTCTCTCTCTCTCTCCTCTCTCTCTCTCTCTATCTATCTATCTATCTATCTATCTATCTATCTATCTATCTATCTATCTATATCTATATCTATATCTATATATCAGGGTATACATTATTTTTATTAATCGCTGAATAAATCGCTAACGTCACGGACATGCAGGACCACACATCTGCTTCCTGGGAACCCAGCTTCCGCCACAAACACTCACCTGGCCGTCGCGAACCCAGCTTCCCCACACGAAACCCGTCCGCTTTCCGTCGGCCTTGCTCCCACATGAAACACCTTAGGTCGGTCTTCAGCCCACATCCGTCGTACCGCACCCGCCGGATCCTCGCCAGCCCGGCTCCCTTGTTTCGAAGCCACCTGTTCCCTGCAGGCCGAGGTCCCTCGACCGCACGCACCGCCGCGGTGAGGACTTGTGCCGGTGGACCTGTGTGTATCCTAACGCTGCACCAAGCATGCGTTTTCTCGGCCAATTTCGTGTCATATACATTGCAGCTGATTCGGGTTATACCCAGAGGCAGGTACAAGTATGACAACGTGGGGCTGAGTGGGAAAGCTGCAATTTACATCGCAACTCTGCTTGGCATGAAAAATGAGTGCATGGTGTATCTCAAGATCCTGCTTTCGCCATGAATTTGAGGTGCCTTGCAGCGGTAATTTTCTGGTCGTCAGATATGTAATATGGAAGAACCAAAAATGACGTCGGCTTAAATAGTCTATGAAGTATAAGAAAAAAGAGGAAGTTTGTCCCACTCTTGGGCCTTCGCAGGGACGCCAGTGAAGTTGTCTGATCACTTGTAGAGGCTGTTCGGACCCTCAGCTGTAGATGGAGACCTGGCCCGTCAAAATCGGTGCCAATGTGGTCGGATTTGTCTGGAAAATAGTTCAAACTGAACGTGTACGTGTGACTTTTTCTAGAGTGATCATCGTGGCAGTTTTTTTCTTTTTACGTTCCGTCACTTAAGTCACCGTGAAATGAGGCATATTCCACAAACCCAGTTCGCTCAAAGTGCATGTGGGGTACTTTTGGGTTTTGGTGAACATCAGCACTGATGTAAAGTGCCCGACGTGATTCGACGACAGGCATCCTCGGCGCGACATGGCTGACCGCGAAACGCGCCCATGTTTACTCTCTGAAGCATATGTTAGAGAGTGCTCCACATTTCCGTTTGGGTTTTGAACTGAAATAGCCATCCTAGAGATCTTAGAGTCTGTGTAGTTCACAGCCCCGCCCATCTTAAAACCCAAACCCCTCTAATTTCTGAACTACATGCCCGCAAATATAAGGAGCCTTTTTTCGGGGAGAGTATTTTAAGATCACCTCGGCATTCGTGAAGTCCTAATGAAGTCATTCGAACCCTGCCACTCCATAAGCCGTGCGATGATTCAGGTCAATAAAGATGCAATGGTAGAGTCGTTCATATCAGGCTTTCGTGGGCACGATTATCAGATATAACGGCCGTCGATTGGCTCTTAATGTTGTGCGAAGTGCGCTTAAGTATCATGATGTACCAACAATGACGTATCGAGGACTGCATTTAAGTTGTTAGGTGCATTCGCGAGGGATACTGTTCACATAGACAGGACAGTGGTAGTAGGCTTATTCCCCGGAGAAAAACGAGGAGAATGAAAATACAGGTGCATTGATATTTCGGCAGCATGCCTGTATCGAAACGAACAGCGAAGTGAATTCACTTCGGCTGTCTCTCTGCCACGTACTGCGTAACGCTTGAAATCTGCTGGCAATCACCATCGTTTGCTGGCAGTCACCCCTCGGCCCTCACTTCTTAGTCGCGCAATCAGTCGCATGTTTCGTGGCCGGCCGGGGCATCGTGGCCCCCGAGACGGGCACTTGCCGCTGAGGGCTACGGTGGGGAGGTCGTGCGAGCCTACTCACTCTGTCAGATGATGATTTGAAATACAGCATCACCCGACCGATGCGTTTGTCGTGAGTGGATGTGAAAACTGAAATGAAGGAGAATGTGCTTTGGAAAGACCAAAATAGTCCTCGTGGCCCGGTACGCGAATGCTTATTGTTAAACTGTGGGTCTGTTTTGCGGATCAGGTAGGAACGTGATGACCATGCGCTGCATGACATGCAGAGTGAGAGCTGTGTACACCAGAAGTGAGGCCTCTATCGTATTGAGAGGCAATGGGGTCCGTTGAGAGACGTGGTTTGATCAGGTGCGCTTGGCACGAACGTCTCCGACGAGCCACTTAAATAAAGGAAGGTGTAGTTAGATCGGCAGAGTGGGCGACAGAAACGAGATGTTTCAAAATAATAATAAAAAACTTTTGGCGTACTTTCATGGCAGGCGATACATCCGTCTTTGTCTCGCACCGCCAGCTCAATTGGGGGTCAGACAGACGTTATCTCTTTAAGACGTCACGTTTAAGACAGAGTTACCAGGGGAGAAGGGAAGAGGTTGCCAGGGATCACAGTCCGTGACAGTGGGGGAGGGAGGGCTGGAAACGGCCGTAAATGCGTAACGTAAGCTGCGGACGCCCCGGGAACACCTCAAAACCATCTGACCCGGAGAACACACCGTGGCCGACCCGGATGAATGAGCAAGAGTGTGGTGCTGGACGCAAGTGCCGTCGTCTGTGGGGCGGCTGTCAGACCGACTGGGGAAGGGAGGCAAGACGGCGTACCGGTGGCCATAAATCAATTAAAGCGAACCGGTTGGCCGGCGTGTCGGCGACAACAGTAGCCCTGCCACCGGCTAAGGTCGGGAGCGAGGAGTGGGCTAATTTGCAATGTAGCGCACGAGCTGGGAAGCTGTTGGGAATTCATAGGTCTGACGGATGGAGGGTGTCTGATGGCTGCACTGAAACGCTGACTTTTAACAGAGGGTGGTCACGCATCAGCTCACAAATGGAAACAATGTGTCGACGGTCGTGTTTCGGGCACATGCGAACTGAAGTTAACATGCGTCGAACAAAAGAGGATGAGTTTGCGAAACTTTTAGGTATACATAATTAAATCCTCGCCTGCCATATTGGGTGCTCCGGTCTTTCTAATGGGTGGTGCCTTCTCTTGGGTTTGCGGGAGTTCCTTTGTTTGCAACGGGGCCAAGCGTGGATAATTTCGGGCCTCCTGTTGACCAATAGGGCGTGATGTTGACTATCTTGAGCCTCTTACAGGCCAGATGTTTTCTCCCACGTGCCTTAACCCTCGCCCTGGTAGGAGCGAGGGATGGTACAACCCCTCTAAGGTCTTTGAGGCTGTCTCTCCGGTATGTTGCGCAATCGCGCCTAAGTTTTCGGTAACCTGTGAGGCATCCGTTTGTATGTTTTAACATCAAAATCGTGTTACTAGCTTTCTGGTTTCGGAG